TATCCTCTATTGATGATCTTATTGATATTTATGTTCAGATGTATCCTCTATTAATGATCTTATTGGTATTTATGTTCAGATATATCCTCTATAAATGATCTTATTGGTATTTTTGTTCAGATGTATCCTCTACTGATGATCTTATTGGTATTTATGTTCAGATGTATCCTCTATTAATGATCTTATTGGTTTTTATGTTCAGATATATCCTCTATTGATGATCTTATTGATTTTTATGTTTAGATATATCCTCTATTAATGATCTTATTGGTTTTTATGTTCAGATATATCCTCTATTATTGATCTTATTGATATTTATGTTCAGATGTATCCTCTATTAATGATCTTATTGGTGTTAATGTTCAGATGTATCCTTTATTAATGATCTTATTGATATTTATGTTTAGATATATCCTCTATTGATGATCTTATTGGTATTTATGTTCAGATATATCCTCTATTAATGATCTTATTGATATTTATGTTCAGATATATCCTCTATTAATGATCTTATTGGTATTTATGTTCAGATGTATCCTCTATTAATGATCTTTTTGGTATTTATGTTCAGATGTAACCTCTATTAAGGATCTTATTGGTATTTATGTTCAGATATATCCTCTATTGATGATCTGTTTGATCTATATTATCTGGGAGACAAGTTTGAGCTGCGTGGAGCCAGGAACCTGATCAAGGAAGTTGTCTCTAGCTTCAAGATCAATCAGGAGAACTGGATTCATGTACTCAAGGGAATCAAGAAGTACGAGAATACTTTCCTGTTTGAAGATCTCTGTAACATACTTCAGGATGAGGTTCAAGGTATTTAGATGATTTCAATTTGATAGAAATTAATTTTAAAATTTACTTGACAGTTGATTTTTATTAATATGCTAGAGGAATAATTTTGCCGTTTTTTTTTTTGTTGACAAAGTGACATTTTGGCACTATTGAGCTTGGAACTACTAGTTGAACCTGGTTCAAATTAATCAATTATGAATTTATGTTATCTTTTTGTTTAGGCTATTTGAAGGGCTGTCCCTCTTCTGATGATTACCTGGATGATATTCAAGAATCTGATGATACAGATTTCTATTCCTGGGTCAAAAACTGGATTCAGAAATGGAGCAGATCAGACACAGGTTAGTCTGATTGTATATAATTACATTTTTTTGCTTTATTTTTATGCGCTATATAAGTTTGCGATAAATAAAAATAGTTATGAAAATTCACTTTTTTGGGGCTGTACAAAATTTTGTGCAAAATCTCTTCACAAAGTTTATGCAATTAGTTTGGTTTTGTCCATGGCTCTCCATAGAGCTATAAAATGTTGAAATCCAAGTCATTTTTATTACTTAAACTTTTGCTTGTACTTGGTTGGGGAAAATTTATGATTTTTGAAGAAAAAATATGAATTTTTCTTTGGAGAAAGTTGTTAAACACATCCTTTCCTTTCTTATCTTCTTTTCTTTAGATTTTCCCTCTCAACCTTAACCATTTTTACCTTCCCCTTGTCTTCCCTACTCAACCCTTCCTATCTTCAATTCCATACCTTCCTCTTTTCTTCCTTCTAATCTCTACCTTCCCCTTCCCTCTCCCTCATTATGCCTTCCTCTTCCCTCTCCTTCATTATACCTTCCCCTTCCCTCTCCCTCATTATACCTTCCCCTTCCCTCTCCCTCATTATACCTTCCCTTTCCCTCATTATACCTTCCCCTTCCCTCTCCCTCATTATACCTTCCCTCAAATTACAATTTATTGAACAACAACAAAACTGTTTTAAAGGATAAAAAGATGGAAGACCACATTTTGCAAAGCTCATGAGAACTCCAACTATTATTTTTGATACCACCTTTGTCAGTTATCCTTTTCTTTGTCAGCTGTTTCCATTCCCTACCTTACCTTTTTCCCTTAAATTTCCTACTTTCCTTTTCCCTCTTTACACCTTCCCATGTCCCTCCCTAATTTTTTCATATATAAATATAAATAAAGCTTGAAAACTTTGAAAGATCTCTTAACTATCAACCTGACATTCTCAAAATGTGCTCATTACAGTATTTACCATCAAGCTCTCTTCTTAAGATGTGGAATAACCTGCCTCTTGACTTAAAAAGAAGCAACTCTCTAAGTATATTTAAAAATAGACTACTAAATTCTCTTTTTGAAAATTATAGGACAATGTGTTATAAACCGAATTGCTATTCATGTAAAACTAATTAGATATGTTTTAATATGCTTTGATATTTNACAACAGAAAGATAAGAGGATTGAAGAATTGGAATTAAAGCATGAAGAACTAATCCAGACCACACAACAGAAAGCTAAGAGGATTGGAGAATTGGAATTAAAGCATGAAGAACTTATCCAGACCACACAGCAGAAAGATAAGAGGATTGAAGAATTGGAATTTACGCATGAAGAATTTATCCAGACCACACAACAGAAAGATAAGAGGATTGAAGAATTGGGATTTAAGCAGGAAGAACTTATCCAGACCACAGAACAGAAAGCTAAAAGGATTGAAGAATTGGAATTAAATCAGAATGATCTTCAACATAATCTACAGACAAAGGATAGAATGATTCAGAACTTGGAATCCCAGCATGAAGAATTTATTAAGAACACAGAACTGAAATTGAGAATGATGAAGGAAATGAAAGGCAACGCATGTTTTGAAGTTATTTTCCCAGTTTGTCCTGGTGAACCATTTTATTGTCGTAGGAGTAATACTCCCTTAGAAACCATGATGGTTGAGCACATCAAAAGTTGTAATTATACTAAGTTTAGTCATCTAAAGCTAAATACAGAAGTGAAGGTTACTTTTAATGCAGTTTATATGATGGAAGAATCCAGAGACTGGTTTAAAATCAAGATAGAGACTTTCAATCATCAACAGTTGTCATACATCATGCACCACAGCGAAGAGGAAACAAAGGATGTGCTCTATTACAGTATAAAATATTTGGGTGATAGTAACATACTCAAATTTGGACCAGTAAGATGTGCTCCTATGGGGATATCACTTGAGGATGCTGTACACAATAACTTCACAACAAACTTTCCAAACAATTTTCTTCTAAAAGATGTGAAATTTACAATGTATAAAGCATAATCATCTTTGTCCACTACCAACCCATCTCAAACATATCAGACAGTGTTTCTAAAATTAGAAGAAATAAGAAATTGATTGTTAAGTAATTGAAGCTATTTTATGTTAATCTTATTACTGAGCTTATGTTTATTACAAGTGTTTATTTCCAGAAAAAGTGAGAACCATATTTTTTATAAAGAAACATTAAATTTAAGTGAAATAGAGGCAAGCCATTAACTTGTTTAGAGTGTATGGTTTTAAATTGGACATACAAATGTAAGCTCACCTAAAAGAATTGTGGACGGATTACCTATTTTTAATAATGTTTAATTTCAGATATATTGAAGACCTAAACTGCAAGTATGAAGTCTAAAATGATTAACATCAAGGATTTTGATTTTCATGATTTGCTTGACCCTGCATCCAACCTTTATGATGTTGAATTCAAGATTATAGATAAAAACTCCCATGAGCTGGGAATTGTCAGGTCCCACAAGTTCTTGCTGTCCCTCCTGTCCCCTGTGCTGAAGAAGATGTTTAGCAACCGGGAGGAGGGGTTCATTGTTGTTGAGCTCACTGGTCCATCCTTCATAAGTCTCCAGACCCTCATCCAGTTCTTATACACTGGAGATGAGTCAGTTATTACAGGTCAGTTAAACCATCCTTCATAAGTTTCCAGACCCTCATCCAGTTCTTATACACTGGAGATGAGTCAGTTATTACAGGTTAGTTGAACCATCCTTCATTAGTTTCCAGACCTTCATCCAGTTCTTATACACTGAAGGTGAGTCAGTTATTACAATTTAGTTGAACCATCCTTCATAAGTCTCCAGACCCTCATCCAGTTCTTATACACTGGAAATGAGTCAGTTATTACAGGTTAGTTGAACCATCCCTTATTAGTTTCCAGACCTTCATCCAGTTCTAATACACTGGAGATGAGTCAGTTATTACAGGTTAGTTGAACCATCCCTCATTAGTTTCCAGACCTTCTTGCACCTTCTAAAACTATTAATTAGTTTCTTTCAAAGATTAAAATGGAAATTGATCTTTATGTTGAGATGTATCTTCTTTTGATGACCTTCTTGATCTTTTTGTTCAGATGTATCCTCTATTGATGATCAGTTTCCTCGTTATGTTGCGATATATCCTCTATTGATGACCTTCTTGATCTTTTTATTCAGATTTATACTCAATTGATGATCATATTGATCTTTATGTTCAGATGTATCCTCTATTAATGATCTGTTTGATCTTTTTGTTCTAATGTATCCTCTATTGAGATCTTATTGATCTTTATGTTCAGATATATCCTCTATTAATGTCCTTATTGATATTTATGTTCAGATATATCCTCTATTAATGATCTTATCGATATTTATGTTCAGATATATCCTCTATTAATGATCTTATTGATATTTTTGTTCAGATTTATCCTCTATTGATGATCTGTTTGATCTGTATTATCTGGGAGACAAGTATGAGCTGCGTGGAGCCAGGTACCTGATCAAGGAAGTTGTCTCTAGCTTCAAGATCAACCAGGAGAACTGGATTCATGTACTTAAGGGAATCAAGAAGTACGAGAATACTTTCCTGTTTGAAGATCTCTGTAACATACTACAGGATCAAGTTCAAGGTATTGGGATTCATTCAATTTTACAATTTACTTGACAGTTGATTTTTATTAATTTGCTAAAGGAACATTTTTGTTGGGGTATATTTTTTGTTGACAAAAAATATCCCTTTGGCACTATTGAGCTTGGAACTACTAGTTGAACCTGGTTCAAATTAATCAATTATGAATTTATGTTATCTTTTTGTTTAGGCTATTTGAAGGGCTGTCCCTCTTCTGATGATTACCTGGATAATATTCAAGAATCTGATGATACATATTTCTATTCCTGGGTCAAAAACTGGATTCAGAAATGGAAAAGATCAGATACAGGTTAGTCTGATTTTACATAATTACATTTTTTTGTTTTTATTTTTATACTATATATAAGTTTGTAATAATTAAAATAAAGCTTCCCTTAACTTGAGATCACATCTGTTTCCTTTCTTATCTTCTTTTCTTTTCCTTCTCAACCTTTCCCATTTCTACCTTCCCTTTGTCTTCCCTTAACCCTTCCTATCTTCTATTCACTACCTTTCCCTTCCCTCTCCTCATTATACCTTCCTCTTCTCTCTCCCTCATCATACCTTCCCCTGTCTCTCCCTAATTTTAATTTATCTGTATTTGTTTACTAACTTTTTATCACTCTCATTGGTCGGAGTATCCAAAAATAGAGAATTTAGCAGAAAATCAAAAGTGTCCACAGTGGATACAGAGATTGCACGATTCGGATAAATTTGTTTAAGTTTTCAGCGCAAATTGCAATTCATTAAACAACAAGAAAACTGTTTTGAAGGATAAAAAGATGGAAGACCACATTTATTAAAGCTCATGAGAATTCCAACTATTATTTTTGATACCACCTTTGTTAGTTATCCTTTTCTTTGTCAGTTATCCTTCATCCCCTGTTTCCATTCTCTACCTTACTTTTTTTCCTTCAATTTCCTACTTTCCTTTTCCCTCTTCATACCTTCCCATGTCCCTCCCTAATTTTTCCATATATAAATTCCCCTTTTCCCTCCTAAAATCCCATCTCCCCTTCTATCTACGAAATCTGAGATTTTAACAAAAATACTCGTTATTCCCTATATCTGAGTAACTATTTGGAAGATACTGTCTTTTTCTATTTGAAAAGTATTAATTCTCATAATTATATTTTACAGAGAAACTGCAGTTAAAAATACCCAATTAAGTTAAGATATCTCAATTTTCCTTGCCAAGACAAGAGTTTAAAGGGTACTATTGTGAATCAGACATACCATTATTTAAATACAGGTTGACCTGAAATTTCGCCTACAGTTCCTTTTAACTATTATATTTTCAGGTTTACAAGAAGCAGATAGGAAGGATTCACAGGAAAGTGAACTCAAGGATTTAAAGATTCAAATCCAGAATATGAAATATCAGCATGAAGAACTTATCCAGAACACAGAGCAGAAAGATAAGAGGATTAAAGAATTGGAATTAAAGCATGAAGAACTAATCCAGAACAGAAAGATAAGAGGATTGAAGAATTGGAATTAAAGCATGAAGAACTTATCCAGACCACAGAACAGAAAGATAAGAGGATTGAAGAATTGGAATTAAAGCATGAAGAACTTATCCAGACCACACAGCAGAAAGATAAGAGGATTGAAGAATTGGAATTAAAGCATGAAGAACTTATCCAGAACGCACAACAGAAAGATAAGAGGATTGAAGAATTGGAATTAAAGCATGAAGAACTTATCCAGACCACACAGCAGAAAGATAAGAGGATTGAAGAATTGGAATTAAAGCATGAAGAACTTATCCAAAACACAGAACAGAAAGATAAGAGGATTGAAGAATTGGAATTAAAACATGAAGAACTTATCCAGAACACACAACAGAAAGATAAGAGGATTGAAGAATTGGAATTAAAACATGAAGAACTTATCCAGAACACAGAACAGAAAGATAAGAGGATTGAAAAATTGGAATTAAAGCATGAAGAATTTATTAAGAACACAGAACTGAAATTGAGAATGATGAAGGAAATGAAAGGCAACGAAAATTTTAAAGTTTGGAACCCAGTTTGTCCTGTTTATTCTTGTGAGAGGAAAATTTCTTTAAAAAACATGGTTGAGCACATGAAAAGTTGTGATAATGTTAGGTTTAATAAGTGTCTTCTTAAGCTGAATACAGAAGTGATAGTTACTTTAAAATGTTTTCCTATAGTTTATAAGCTGGAAAAATCCAGAGACTGGTTTATAATCAATATAAGGGGTGACTATGGACGGTTTGTGTTCTACATCATGCACCACAGTGAAGAGGAAGCAAAGCATTTGTTCTATTACAGTATAAAATCTACTGATGATTCCATCTATTTAGAACCTAAAATAGTGAGATGTGCTCCTATGGGGATATCAAAAGAGAATGCTGAAGACAATAACTTCGCAACATACATAGAATTTGAAGAATGTTATCCAGGAGGGATATTCACAATGTATAAAGCTTGATCATCTTTGTCCAACACCAACCCATCTCAAACATATTAGGGAGTATTTCTAAACTGAGTCTAGGCCAACCTAAAATAAGAAATTGATTGTTAAGTAATTGAAGCTATTTTATGTTAATCTTATTGCTGAGGTTATGTTTATTTTTATATTTTTCCTCCTCTTTAATCAATTCTATATAGTTTTTTTTTTAATTCACTGTAACAATTGTGCCTCTATTAGTACTAATGTATATATTTCCCATTATTTTCATGTATTATTGCAAATAAAGAGGATTTTTTAATTCACTGTAACAATTGTGCCTCTATTTGTACTAATGTATATATTTCCCATTATTTTCATATATTATTGCAAATAAAGAGGATTTGTTAATTTAGTGTAACAATTGTGCTTCTGTTAGTACTATTGTTTATATTTCCCATTATTTTCATATATTATTGCAAATAAAGAGGATTTTATAATTCACTGTAACAATTGTGCCTCTATTTGTACTAATGTATATATTTCCCATTATTTTCATATATTGCAAATAAAAAGGATTTTATAATTCACTGTAGCAATTGTGCCTCTGTTGGTACTATTGTATATATTTCCCATTATTTTCATATTTTATTGCAAACATAGACGATTTTATAATTCATTGTAACAAATGTGGTTCTGGTAGTGTTATTGTATATATTTCCCATTATTTTCAAGTTTTATTGCAAATAAAGACGATTTTTTATTCTGTTTTTGCTTTGTACAACTTAAAATAAAATTCAGGTTGTTTTCTGAAATTTGGTGTTTGGTTAAATTCACTGAACTTTTGAATTGTAAATCTTGGGATCAAGCACTGACCTCCATCTTAAGTAGACCTGCGGATTAAATTAATTCTTTTTCAATATCCTAGCTCTGCTTTCTTGATGTTGAGGTGAAAGTCTCTTATTACAGTGAAACCCTTAATAACAAATACATCGAAAGAATTCATCAAATGTCGTATTCTTCACTTTCTGATAATTTGAATGTTGCAGATATTTAGTTTTTAATTAAATGATTATATGGAACTCTTTAAAACTGTTCCCGCATATTCATGGCTATTTATTTATTTTCGCAAATACTGAAATTTACGTAATATAGTGTAAAACTCATTGAAAAATTGTCAAGACGACATTTGATAAATTCTTCCGATGTATTCGTTATTAAGGGTTTCACTGTAGAAAAAGTTGAAAATAAATTCATGAACTCAAATTAATCGAAAAAAAATATATTTTTGTGTTTTGGTAAAATTTTAAGTTCCTACCCTACACCTGTATTCTTTATTAACTACTATGGGTTTACTGTTAAGTTAAGTGGGGGCATATTTCTAGTGACTCTCCATATTATTAGTTATACAGTGACACTGGGGCATGTTAGATTCACAATAGTCCCCATTATTAACCTTGATCTTACAGTAACAATAATGAATTATTTTTTTTCCTTTATTGTTTCTGTAGCATAAAAATTTCAATTGTATTTTTATATAAAACTACAATTAAAAGTAATCACTTTCCAGCTAGAAACAATGATATCTAATCATACAGCTTTACCGAGAGGAAGGATTAAGAGTACCGTTGTGAATCAGACCTAGCACTATGGAGGTTCGAACTTGTAAGTTAGTAATTTCATCAACACAGACCCTGAAGATGATTCAAAGTTGCAAGTTTGGTTCTAACTACTCTGCAGGGTGTCCCAAAAAACTTGACTTTAGAAAGTCGACTTGAACGCACAAAAATTATATACACCATGTAACTATAACTAAGGAAAGATTTGGACAACAAGGTAGGTGTGTCAAAGTAGTTTAAAATAGGTTTCCTAAAACAAGAAATAAAAAATAAAATTCTTCAAGATCTGCAACTGCAAGAAAAGAAAAGTGTATTTGAACAATCAAAATTAGAAACTCAGAAATATTATTTTCCAACTGAGGTTCAGGAACCCTAAAACAATTTATGTTCTCGATTAGAAAATGCGAACACAAAAAATTTACAAAACATTTCATCGTTTTCCGAATTTTTAGTTAGACTGTTAGACTGGTTTTTAATTTTTGTTTTGATTTTAATGAAAAGAAATGTTTTAAATGTTTTTTTGTGAACACATTTGTGTTCACAATGGATAGAATTAGTTTTAATTCAAACAATACACGGATAAAAGCTCATTTCTCCTACAAAATAATGTAATGCCTAAATAAATGTATATATAGTTGGTGGAAGGTTAAACCAAACCAGATTAGATATAAACGATGTAGACCACTTTTTCAGTAAATATATTCCGAGATTTCTATGATGTCCTCATCAGTACTAAAACAAAAATAATATTAAATAATTACAGAATTATTTCAAGAAAAAAACATGTTAACAATTTATAATGTAAATTGTCCAAACTGGCAAAAAAAGTTTTACTCTCACAGGTAGAAAAACTCGGGTTTGGAAATTAATTTTAATATATTTTATATCCTCTTCAGTCCTTTATAACAATTTAAATTTTTACCTATAGGTTGGGGAGACACTGGTCAACTGATTAGAGTTGAAAACATTGTAAATCGATATGAAATGGGGAGGAGGGGGGGGGGTTGTTTTGATTGAGTCGGGAGGATATGAAATTAAAAGGGGGGGGGGAGAAAGGTACTTCTTTATCTTGAGACAGGATTTAATACTAGCTTACACTAGAAATTCAAAACATTTATTTTTAAAAACTAAATACAGAGTTTACATAACTTCTATACTGGATTTATCTTCTTTTGTTTAGTCCATAGACCGATTTCTTTGTCGAGTTGCAACTTGCTTTGACTCTGACTATGATTTGAGATCATAGCTACAATTGGTTAGATTTCAGATCATAGTCAAATCTCATTCATAAGTCAAAATTTTGAGGTTGGATTTAGTATGATTTCAGATCTAGTCAAAGTACAAGTAATTTGTTTTATAAATCCAATCTAAGCTGCTCTGAATATGATTTGATGACAGCTGGTCTTCCTAACTGAGAGCAAAAATAAAATTTAATGGGGCAGTCATATTTTCTCGACCCCTTTAAAAAGATAAATTAGATAGATGGATAGACTAATAAAACGGTGGTGTATTTTTCGACCTACGCAAATCCGCTATACTCCACTTCTGACCTACGCCAAATCCGCTATACTACACATCCGACCTACTGGCACGTGGTTTTACAGTTGCTAAATGGACTTTTGGCCGCAGCGCCCGGCCCCCTAGCCTGTCCTAACCGCGGCGCTCGGCCCCCTAGCCTGTCCTAGCTGCAGCGCTCGGCCCAGAAANGCTCGGCCCAGAAGTTGTCTTAACCTAACCTAACCCTCAAATAATACAAAAAACAGCTGGCGTAGGTCCGATATTGCAGTAGGTCGGAAAGTTAGAAGGTCAGAAGTTCAGTATTGGAGATGTTGCGTGTAAACGATGTAAAATTACCATAAAAACATTGATAGATAGATAGAGATAAAAGATGAAGAAAAAAAGAGAATAACAGAAATTATAAAATCTATTAAAGGAAATATCTGATAAAAAGGTTTATTTTTTTGTTTAAAAAAAATCTTTTTTAGTATTCAAAATAAAAAATAAATATTTTTAAGAAAATTTTGATTTTTTATTTTAAAAAGTATTGTTAAAAAATTATTAGTTAAAAAATTTAAAAAATAGCTTTTTTGAAAAATTTTTTTTTTTAGGTTTTTCTTTAAAAATCGTAGAAATATTCTCATTTTTCTGAACTATGCATCTTAGCATATTATTACTGGTCTCTATTTTCATGTTTTGCAATTTTAGTAGTTTTAATGTCTTCTTATTTGTACCCAAAATAATAATAAATGTTCTTGTATCCTTTCACATAATGTTCTCTCAGGTTTTCCTATATATTGGAGCAAACACTTATTACAGGTGATAATATAAACTACATTTCTAGACTTACAATTAACTGGTGCATTAATCTCTACAAATTTGTTATTTCTGGAAGATTGGATTCTGTTTTCAGGTTGTAGGTAGGGACAAATACTGCAAGATCCACATTTCTTTAAACCTGGAATTATTCGCTCAGGTCTCTGATTTCTTGGCTCGTCGTAATCAGATCACAACGATAATATTATCTGT